GTCAGCTAAAGGCATGTTTTAGAGTCTCTATACTCCAGTTAACGATTTATAGATTACTAAATTAGGTGCTGATTTTTTCAATAATCGATTAATCCAATTAATTGTCTCAGGCCCACTAAACATTTAACCAGTCACTGATGTGGCTTTGGTATAGAAACACTGAGACCTTCTGCTTGTTTGTTCACTCCCTGTTTCTTCCAAACTAAAAGGAGCAATAATCCCATCATCACTGCTGTTTTAACATTAGAATAAAACGGTCATACTTCTGATCCTACAGAACTGCACCATCCTCTTCATTAGATTCATTTATTATTCACTTCATGAGGAATCCAACCCCATCAACTCATGGCTGCTACTTATGGCAGGCTGTTTTGACATTTATTAGTTTGACTGTCTCAAATGAATTTATTCTGAAAATGAACAGTTTAAATATCTTAAATATAATTCTTAAAACTGGAGTACTAATGACATCATGTTTCCCATTCATGTGTATTGGGCTTTCACTTCCAGATGCATAAAACTGAATTCTGATGAGAATGAACTGTAATTTCAGATCTCCATAATCCAGTTACTTCTTGTCAAAATGACCATTTCAGATATAAAAAATTACTATAATATTCTAGATATACAGAAATCCAATTCTTGACATTATGAATATATTTATACCGGTAGAAATGTCCTTACTGTCATGATTCTTTCTAAGGCTCGGACCCACATGCAATGAAGCCAAACAGAGAGACACAATATAAAAGTTCAACAGGTTTTATTGAGAGTTCGGTGCAGAGTTCCTCCGAACTCTGCTCGGCCGGAAACTGGAAGACGAAGGGAAGACAGACTGTTAGGTTCAGGCTCAGTGGGAAATTGGAGTTGTACATTTTGAAGGAGAGGATTTGTTGCCACTCACGTTTCCAGAGAAGAAGAGACACGTAGACTCCAGTCTGTGTGTTGGTCTTCCAGAATTTGTTTGATTCGGTGGAGGGCGGAACAGGGTGGAATGATGCAGCCGCTGGTTGCAACTCAGTTTTCCTGTGGTACTTGAACGGGTCGTGGTGAAGTTCACTTCCTTACTCAGAGAGAGATCTCAGCGTGCTCAAAAGTGGCTGGATCCAAACCTCCTGTTTGTAATCCGTCGCTCAGTGTAAGACTCAGTTGATCCCACTTGGGAGAAGGCGGTCCGAAAAGGTCCAGTTTGCTGGAAGGGCTTCCTGCCGAAAGGCAAAGAACAAACACAGTTGAGACTCAGGGAGAAACAAGTGCTCAGTAAAACTCAAAGTGATTTCAGCTTGGCTAGAGGACAAAAACTTAAAATGCAAAAACTCAGATTAGACTCAGCATAAAACAAGGCTTGGCTAGAGTACCCCAAACTGGCAAACACTCTGGCAACCAGCAGCTTAAGAGCAGTCCGGTGATGCGTGAGGAGGCAAACCGGACTGCTCTTAAGCGCCTCCTGGTGGTGCAAGGGAGAAACATAAAAGACAAGACAAACACAAAAACAGGGATCCTGACACTTACAGTTATCAGTTATGCTAAGATTTCTCTGTGTCAGAAACTTTATTCTTACTAGTTCAGTTTTATTTTTGCATTCTGAAATAAATTTTTTGTCAAGGCTCAGAACAGGGGACACACCCTGTAAGACAGACAGCTAATTCAAAAGTGTTTATTAAAAAGGGAACCATATTAACAGCAGCTAGGGCATCTAGGGCAGGAACCTCTGGTTTAATAGCTCAGTCTGTGCCCAGAAAACGTGGTTGATCCCAGCCAGTCAGCTGACTACAACACGCAGCGGGGGCCTCTCATAGTCCCAGATGCAGCAGCCCCAGAGGACGGAGAACAAGCAGGAGATCAGATCCGGGCAGATGAAGGAAGGCAGGATAATCCAGGAGCCAACGCCAAAGCCAGTGTCGATTACGTGCTCAGGATTCAGAACCAGGAGATCAGAAGTCTGAAGAGGTTTCGAAGGGAAATCTAGGTCGGTGACAGGAAACAGCTCCAAGTTCAGCAAGAATCCAGCAGGAGTACGAAGACAGGTCAGGCAAACAGATCGGACCGGAACAGGCAGGCTCAGTGGTGGAGAGGCAGACCAGGAAATCAGAAACGCTCACGTAATGCTGAAACGCTCAAAGGTTGAGAGGAAGAACTAGTTAGGATCAGGTAATTAGAATACAGGAACGCTAGAATAATTCGCACTAACAGCTTGAGAATAATCTGGCCCTGATGACTGGTTAGAGGGCTGGTTAAATAGAAGCTGGAGCAGGTGGATCAGATGAACGGTATTGAGAAACAACATGGAGTTAGACAGGTGAATCCAATCAGTAATTAAGCCAGTCAGCAGCTCCAAGATCATGACATTTTTTCAGGCAAACATGTAATTTAGGATATCTATATTTATAGTTCTGACCACTATGAATGTAGTTTAAATCAGGAAGAATCTTATTTTGAGTATCTATGAATGGAGCAGAAGAGAGGAGGGCGCTTCTAATTGTAGCGTTGCATTAAACTTTAATTGAGATTATATTTAATTATGGGCCAAAACGTCACAAAATGCAATGACTGGATAATTAACGTGTTGCCTGGAGTGCAGGCAAAGTTCATAATCTTTTCTTTGCCATTCTATCAATATCTTTCCGAGTTTCAAATGTTGACCTAATTTTACTAAGAAGCTACAAATTTTTGTACATTTAGCAGCATCTGTTTCCAGAGCTTTGTGGCTTCCTCCCACCTTTGCTCTTCTACTCTCCATCTTTAAGACGCCATTGATCGACTGAGATCACCAGATTACATCAGGGAGCACAGAGAAAAAAAAGCTGCCAGAAATGAGACCAGCCTCCCAGGATTGGTCCAGGTCCTCCCCATTAGCCGCCTCACTCTAACTTCGATTTGATAGAATCACATCCTGATCAAGGCTATAAACCTGTCCTCAATGCACAATTGATGCTCTAAAATCCCCTCACTGAAGTGAAATAAATCCAAAGGAGGATCTGATCATCATTTTCAGCTCAGAGTTAGGGTCCCTATTTGATTCTGAGTGTGGGTTTTTTCACTCTGACCACCAGAGCAGGCGGAGCAAACCGGTATTTCTACATGCAAAACTGAACATCTGACATGAAAATCCAACAGGTTTCAAGCTATCCTGTTTTCCTCCAGCTTTTAAAAGAAAAGTATATAATTATTGTTAGTTAATTGTTGGTGGCCTCTCCTCTTTAGATGGATTGAAATGGGATTTACTGTGATTTTACTCATTTTATTTTTATAAAAATGAATCAAACATTCTCTGGATATATCAGTTTCTCAGTTTGCTGTGGAGGAATATGAAGCCTTGCAACAAACCTTGGATTTGGAGCAAAACCTGAGGACTGAAGCAGAGAGCTTTGCCCGAGAAGTGAGTCCAAGCTTTTCTCTAACCTCCAGCATCGCATTCTTGAATCTTATCTATGTTCTGTTAATATTTTTTTCCTTTTGGTTAATTCAGATGCTGGTTGAACAGAAAAAACTGAAGAGACAGAGTCAGCTCCTGCTGCAGAGCTGCACGCCCAGCCAAGCTCTGCAAGATGCCCTCAGCCAGGTGGCTGTTCTGACAGCAGAGGTGGAGAGACAAAGACTGGAGCATCACAACCAGGTGTGGGGACACATGTTCCACAGAAACTGTCCAGTTTATGAAATTAAACACGTATTTTTGGATGCTGACATTTGCAGGATACAATGAATGGAAAGTTTGTGAACCTGAAGCCCTGGAAAGTTTTGAAAACCGCTAAAAGAAGACTCCTTCCTTGAAAGTCCCTGAAAGTTTTTTTGTCTGACGTTGGATTGGGTTGGGGCCCTTGTAT